GAAAACAATCAATGTACCTTGGTAAATTTGAAGCGCTTACGTCAATATGACATCATCAGCATTAACTCTGAAGTAAGTTGGCTTAATTAGCTACGTCAATTCTAGCTACGTATATACTATAAACTTCACATGAACGTCGGTGCGTGAAATCTTTTGCAGCTCGACTCCTCCTAAACAGTTAAACCGAAATGATTGTTTTTTGCATAGTAATAGATATCCATTTTGTGCAGAAAACCAACCTAAAAGGTTCAAATTGGGCTTGTTGGTACAGAGAAAGCCGGCAAAAAACTGGAACTATGTGACTTCTGCGTTTTTTTTTGCTGTTCACTTCAATTTGATGGCAAAAAATAAATACCTGTATCTTTATTGTCAAATTTAATTTCCCGCTCGGCAGTTTCATGATTATAATTGATTATTTTGGTTTTTGCATTTTCTGTCTCAATAAATTTCAATTATAAGCAATTGTAATCGATTGAAACAGATTAGAGTCCCAATATTTGTTATATCAATATATTTCATCATAATCGATGATTGTTTTCGATGAAAACTTCAAAAAAATTTTAAAAATGTTATTTCTTTCCTGTTTAGTGCACTTGCAACATTTTACGCGTCATTAACTTTTACTTTTCTTATACTTTAACTTTTCACTTTACTTTTATTGTTTTTTACCTACCATCGCCGTTTATTTTTCCTATCGCCATTCGCCCTTCGCCCACTTCCACCTCCCCCCTCCCCCCTCCCCCTCCCAAGTTCATTCGAGTAAGAGGACTTCAACGTAAACTCCGCCACCTCTTCTAAACCCCCCCTCACCAGTTTACCCTGTCCCCCCCCTCTTTTGACCTCCCAGTTCCCCCCTCCCCAGTATAAAGCCACCCCATTTCTCTCTCCAGTTTACTTGACGCGGCGGCTCTTTTTCCTTTTCACCCCACCTGCAAATTTTTACATGAAAATTTGTTGACCACATTGTCCGATTGTTATGAAAATTTACATACAGACTAATAAGGCCACGACAAACATATTTGGTCTTCATACTCAACCTCGTAAAACCACTTGTTACACTAATATATTGAAGCTGATGTGAGGTGGGGGGAAAAGGAAAAAGAGCCGACGCGGCTGGTGAGGGGAGGGGAGGGGAGGGAGTAAAGAGGTCGAGTTTTCGTTGAGTAGCCTCCCCCGCTGGCGGGGGACTGTAAACTCGCCCCCCCCCCCCCCCCCAGTTTGAGAAAAATCAGGTTTTATATCATTTAAAGCGCAATATTTTGAATGTGTATGAAACTTTCTGAAGCATTCAAACTTGAATAACTGTTCAACTTCAAAGTACAAGCTATTTTTTGTGAATGTGACACCAATTTTAATAGCGTTTTATTATTGGGCTAGCAAATTGAAAAAGACGAAGAGGCATTAATTATCAACTATTAATTGACAACTTTTGGGATTTTTTCATTGCAGCGCTCAAGACTCGAAAGCCCCCAAACTGTGATTTTATTATTGATAACTTTATGGGGACTACATTTTATGGATCAACCGTACAACTCCCCCCCCCCCCCCCTCCCAAATTGATTTCAGGAGAAGAAAATATGTTTTTTTTTAAGAAATATCTTTGAGAGCATGCCTTAGATTTATAGAAAATTAACAGTTTATTAATAGAAAATTGATTTTAAAAACGTTAGATTCTATTATAACAGCATTCAAATGCAATACCACATAAAAATTGTGACAGCCAATTTTATGTGCGCGTTTGTTCGAAATACATACTTTATACAGAAATAATTTTCAAATTATTACGTGGCTAGGGGGAAACTCGACGGTTGGTCACTTAGGGGGGTGGGGCGAGATTATACGGTTGATCCCATTTTATTGAGACTTAAATGAAAAGCGCCCATTTTTTACTCGATAAAAATGCGTGAGGGAATGATAATTCAATCTATTTGATGAAATTGTTTAGACACCACACTAACTCAAGTTTAGCTACTTTTTTCAATTTAATCACCAATAAATCGTTTTTTCATTTATTTGAGCAAAAATTTTAGTTGAAAGTCGCCAGGCAAAAACAAAACCAAAACACAACAAGGATAGCCCGTTACTGTTGAAGTAGAACAGAATGTTCCGAGCATAGTCTTAAAAAATATTTAAAAAATTTCAAATTAGTGTTCTTTTTTCTGCGTGGTCTGATAAAAAGATCTGAATTAAAAAGAAAAATGTAGGCATATTTGAGATCTATGGTGAATTAGGCCAATCGGAAATCAGTTTATGTCGAAAAATGACTAGAAAAACAAAAAAAAATGATTAAAAAAAATCAAAAAATTGTCAACTTTTTTTTACAGAAGTTTTTCGAATTTTGAAGGTTTGATTCCCAAATTAGCTATAAAAAAACTCCAAAAACTACTTTTACCCCAGTGAAACTAAGTTTTCACGGCTTAAATTAGGCACAAATAAGCGTTTGTAAGCCTGCTTAGCCTCACCTTATTAGTTTGAAATAAGACTAAAATTCAAAATTTTGAAAATTGGTTTTTTTTCGACACAGAAAATTTTTTCAAAATTTTTGAATAATGTTCGAATCACGACTGACAAGGTGTTACATATCATTCAACCCATTCCGATGATTGTTTTTGGTACCTGATTGATTTGTTGTGGAAAACAAAAAGAAAGAAAAAACTAAAGCAAACAGAACTTGATCGGAACAAACAGAACTTGAAAAGGTTTTAATCGACAAGCAAAAGGAACCTGAAGGGCTTTGTGGCACTCCTCTTTGCTAGTTTTAATTAACAAAAGAACTTGTAAGAAACGGATCTACTCAACAATTGCCCTCCTTCAAGAACGGGTGTTAGGGGCAAATAAAAGGTAGGTTAAGTTAGTCCAATTTTCCATCAATCCAGGTGCTCCAAAATTTGAATTTCACATAGAGCGCTCTGTTACTAATTTAATGCTTTTATTTATAGGGGTGGCAATTCTTAAGTAGATACCAAAGGGAGGGCGGTTGTTAAGTAATCCATAAAAACACTTAACTCTGCTTGAAACATGAATTTATTGCACTCTTTACATTAATAGAAACCGGTGGTAAGAAATTTTTAGTTTGGCAACAAATTCTAGTCTCCTCAAAGAGCAATAACTTTTTGCATTCCACTCGAAGTGGGAAAACAATAAGATATATTTATTTGGGTAGAAATCATAAGTGTGTCAAATGTGTGGAGACTGTTGTAGATGGTTGTAATGCTGCTTACAACTCTCAGTTCAAAGTTGATTTCACAGCGGCACAAACTCATCTTCATTGTCTGAGGCATTTCAGTTTGCCTTGATATAAAAATGAATATGTGTTTTTAAAACATTTCATGGGTCCTTTTAAATATCACTAGCTCCACCTCATAATTGTTCCGAACGCAAAGTGGGCAAAACTTCCATTACTATAATTTTTTAGCTTGATAGAAGAGTACTCCAGCAAATGAATAAACGTAAGATGTTGAGTGATAAATCACTTGAGTTTTGTTTTCTTAGTTCAAATAAAACGTTGTTTCAGAGGCCATAAGAGATCCAATAGGGCAGCAAAAACCTGTATCTTTCTGTAACAAAAACGCCGAAATATATATAAATAAATAAGTATGTAATGAAACTTTTAGAAGAAAGATAAGCTTCTGATTTTTTCTTCTTTTTTATCAAGTAGCAATATAACAGTTTTCAATGTATTTAGTTTTTGATATCGATGCGCAAACATTTAAAAGCTGAAGCAAAAAGAGTATACTTTTTTGCGTGGGATATTCAACGAAGAGTTGTATGTCGAATTAGAAATTTCAAAAAGCGGAAAATTTATGACTCGACAAGTGTCGGCTTCGCCTCAACCTTGTTTTAAAATTTTTTATCACAATTTTTGATCTCGGACTGCGGCGGATCGAAGTTATTCCTGGAAGGGCGGATTTTCAGAAAATTTCCAAAATTATGTCGACCTTATTTTTAGGTTGATCAGATTTTTTTTCGGAACTCTCCAAAATCAGTATAAAGACACTATTTTGACCAAGTTTTCAGCGACGCAGGCAAATTTTGGAAAAAATAGGCCAAAAACGGCGCTGTTAGGCATTTTTTCGAAAACGTTTGCTCAAAAAATTGCGTTTTTTTGGCGCTCGTTCCCCCTATCAAAATTAGTTTTTATCGACACCGAGGGCGCCTGAAGGAATATTTTAGGGTCGGTCAGCCTAAAATTGATGTCATGAAAAAGTACGAAAGTGAGGTTTTTTTGGGTTAGCAGAGGAAGGAGGAGGGGGGGCGTCTGCCCCCTTCCTTCTCAAATCGGCCCCTGATCTCAAACCTAACTCAACGTAATCTAAACCTGATTTTGTTTGCATAATTTTATTCGTTTTCCAATAGAAAAAAATCTATTTCACCTTTTTGACTCATAAATTTTGAGTTCAAAATTCAAAATATACTGATTGGTTGTCTTTTGTGCCATTTTTTTTTTGGTTTCTTGCAATCAATGAAAAAAGTAGTCTTGAACAACTTCAATCGTGAATCTTCAAAATATTCCGTAGCTTTTTTCTTTCACAAAATCCAAACACTGAATTGATTTAGAAAAAAAATGAGAAGGAACGTTTGTTTGTTCAGAGTTTTGATCTAATTTGACGGTTGTTGGGTTTTCCTGGTCCCAGGGTTTCTGTAGATCTGGAAGAAGCGGCTAATAAAACTGTTTTAATTTTGGTTGCAGTTTTCAATGTTTTCTGGAGTCTAAAACTGTTTGTTTTTGAAGCACAATTTGCACTATGCAAAGGATCCTAAAGTTTTTTCTCTATGTTTCTATGGTGACAAAAAGAAGTTAACTAAAAAAATTGCCCATTATTGAATTTATTATTCATGCAAAACGTAATTATCATCAACCATTACCATCTTTTTGTAATTGTATACATAAACTAACAATGAAACTAATTGAGCTTGCTAAATTATGGGCAACGATTGGAAACGAATCTAAAAAGCAATTTGATTGAAATAATAGAATAACTTTAGTTGTAACCTTTGTTTTTCATAAAATATTGCCACATAAAATTAAAATTGACATATATCAGGAATCACAAATTAGAAAAGTGAGGGTAAGAAAATTACAGACAATTTACTTTGATTTTGAAGGAAGTATTGAAATCTACACTGATGAAATCGAAACCCAATTTATAATGCTGACCCAACCCATAGCTGCTGAAATGCCAGCCCTTGAAAATTTTCAATAAAATAATTTGAGGAAGAAAGAGTATCGGATAATCGTTTTCATCCTTATTTCGTTCCGGTACATGGAACAGAGTTATCAATTTAAAAACAGTTTCATTCTGTCATTGTGCTTCTTTTCAGCAAGTGTTCCAATTTTCGATGGGCATTGCCCAATTATTTTGGAACATAGTCAATTTCCAGTCGCTCGGGACTCGACTAGTCGTGTACTTGCAGCCCGGTTATGTTGACGCGATGAACCCTGCTGCGACTGCATAGCTAAAAAATTCCTCTCGTTTCTCGCGCGTCCATTGTTGAAACACACAAGAAATTCTCGTATTTCGGCTCGGATTGACCTCGAAAATACGACTATTATCAATGGGTTCAGAGCCGAGTTCAGAAATAGAACGAATACGGCGAAGCATATATCAGTCGGGTCGTGACGTCGAAACCCAAAATAGCCGAGAAAATTGAGCAATTGTCTCGGAAACGAGCACGCCGCAAAGCACAGAGTGACGCAAATAAGCATCCGAACTGTATTATTTCTGTCACGGTCGCGTAAAATCATTGACTTATTTGAAGCGGCCGCTCTTTGATGCGGATGCAGCTGACCTTGAGAATGCCTTTGACCTTGACCGTTTATTTTTGCATGTTTGGCACAACGGTCTAGCGTTGAGACAACTCCTTGCTTAGCTTTCTTCTCTGCTATTTTTTGACTGCAGATTCCAGCTGAACCTTTTGGTTTGTTGCGGCGGTTGTCGTTTGGATCTAACTTGCACGCCCCCCTGTTGCCGGCCGTGCCCCCATTGATGGGTTTGGGGCCAGGGGGCAGGAGAAGACGGTGGGAGTCGGTGGATGTGACTTTAATTGCAGGGGGGTAGTAGTTTGCAAGGGATGACTGCTGATCTGAAAACAACATTTAAAAATGCATGTCACTTTTTCATAGGCTAAACTTTTTAAAGTAAAAACCAGCTACCATACAAACCAGCCGAAGTAATTGTTATATAATAGTGATGTCGAAAATTTTGTCGACCTTTTTTTCGGTCGATCAAATTGATTTTCCGAGCTCTCCCAAAGCACTAAAAAGACTTTGCGAGATGCGCTCCTGGTAATAATTACAAAAGCCATGCAATCTTTCTTATGTGACGTCATTTTTAGGCTCGGTTATATACTCTGCGCATTTTAGGCTCGTTTCATACTTGGGTTGGTTTATTTACTCTCAAAAATCTGTAAATATATGAGGACGCGAACAATCAAGAAAACATAAGTGAGCTTTTACTCTATCTTACAATCCGACATTTGGCTGGCGCCGCACTCCTTTTGGTTGCCGGCTGCCGCTCCTCCAGTGGTGTTGCGAACTGTGTCTTGACGCAGTGCCTTGTCCATCTTGGCCTGAAAAGACTTCAAGCATCTTGTCTGTTGTAGACACAACCTCTTGGACCAATTAGAAAAGCGTATATTATTCAAAGAGTTATTCAGAATGTCAGAAAAAGTTAACTCTTCATACAAAATATTATTTTGAAACCACTTTTTCAGAAAGAGAAGCCTTGAAGTTACTTTTCAGACGTGCTTTTCAGACGCAGAGGAGAAGGCGCAACTTCTAACCTTGTGGAGCTTGCGAATGATGAGAGCGTATGTTGTCCCAATCACAATTAGGGGTATGAGGTAGTACACCAGCAGTTGGTACCTAAACGAAAATGAAGTTGGCACCTAAACAAACCTGCATTTTTGAATACATCATGGGTTCAGGTACTCAATTTATGTTTGGACTTTCTCAAACCTCGGCCAAAATTCGTTTTGTTTCGACAATCTTGAGCCAATATGGATGTGGCTTGACTTTGTCATCCAACATATTCGCGCGTTTAGAATTTCTAGACCGACAAAAATAACTCGATTTTACTTGAATCAACTTTGAAATGATTTGAGCAGATCGACCGAAATCAAGTGTCTCAGATTTCTCGACCGAATAAGTTTTGATCGAGCCAAAAATCATTTTTTACAACTCAAGCAAAAGTAGTTAAATTTAGATTCTCTGGACTGTCAGTTGTTCCGACCAAAACAACAGGAAAAAAACTGTAATCGATTGTTTATTAGAATTTTTCTTTTCCTTTCACGCTAAATCAGATTAAAAAAAAAGTCCCCATTTTGTTGAAAAAAAGCTTGCCTAAATAAAGATTTAGCAGCTGTTTGACTGTATCAAGCAGAAAAAAAATCTTACCAAGAAAGGAAACAGACAAAAATTTAGAGTAAAACTTCCGTATTACTTTCACAGCGACTAGCTATTCTTTCGCATAGCATTTTTGAGAGCAGTTGTTTCTTCACCTTCATGGTTTTTTGAGTGAATTTTTCAAATTGTGTTTCCAACGTTTCCAAAGTCGCATCAAAATGTGGCAAAAAATCGCCCGGTTTCATCATGAAAGTATCAGCTTTTAATTAAAGTCATGTAATTTCAGGTTTTTAACGAGTTGTTTTTTGAACTTTGAATTAACTAGGTGCTTATAAAACAGATTTTGAAACCTGTAACTTTTACTCGATGGCCCAAATGACGATTTTACAATCAAAGCACCACCTCGCATCAATAGTTAACATACAGTTACGTCGTGTCATGAATTGAAAGAAAAAAATAATTGTTAATCTAATTTAAATGTTTTAACTTTTTAAAACTTACTTACCTTTTGATTAAAAAAACAGCCTGAGCGAAAGGAAGAATGAAATCCGTTGAGGCATCGAAGAAACAACTTTCTGGGAAAAATTTGATGTGCTACTCCTTAGTGAATGATGACATTAAAAATTCCCTAAGTCTAATTTATTTCATTCAATGTGAGCAAATTTGTTTCAATTCTGCAGAAAATGGCATTTTCTGATTGAACAATTCGTAGAAGTTAATTTTTCAGCTAATTTGCAATTTCAAACTATAGGTCGAATTATCGAATTCAATTGTTGGCTAAAGAAGTGTCATAGAAAGCGAACACATGTAAAAGACTACAGTTAAAGTGAATCTACTTCAAATTGTATGGGCGAAGAGAAAAAAGACTTCAAAAGTGTTACTGATTTTCGATTTGTTTTCAGCCATTTTCTTTGAAGCCTAAAAGCTTTCTAAGAAATAGGAGGAATAGTCATTACTTTTTGAAGTAGCTTTGAATGTACATTTCTCAAGTTAATTACTTTCCTTCTCCCTTTCAGCGCCGAAAAGGTTAATTTCAAAAGCCTGTTACCACAGCAAAAAAATTCGTTTAAAAACATCAAAAATTTTGTTGTCCTAATTTTTTGCAATGCAAGCAATAGTTTTTGATTTTGCAAAAAAATGGCTTTTTCTCGTCAAAAATCTGAAAAAAAACAATTGGTTAAGAAAAAAAATTTTAATTTAAACTTTTTTGTCGTTTCTGTTTCATTTGCTAGTCCATATTCCGTTTCTTCTTTATACTCTAGCTCAATATTTTTACACTCTTTGATATTGATACTACGAAAAGGCTGTTTTTTACAAAAAAAATCAAGACTTTACATTTAGAAAACTTAATTGCTAATATATTGTTTTCCATCCATTCGGTTGAAATTTCTGAACTGTGATTCAATTTCAAGCCGTTGTCACAAATTGGCGTAAAAATACTTGTTTCGTCTGCAAAAATTGTCACATGGCTGCTTGAACAAACTTTAGGTAGATACTTCACATGCAACAAAAAAGCAAAGATCCCAAAACCCTGAAAATTGTCACATGGCTGCTTGAACAAACTTTAGGTAGATACTTCACATACAACAAAAAAGCAAAGATCCCAAAACTCTGAAAATTGTCACATGGCTGCTTGAACAAACTTTAGGTAGATACTTCACAAACAACAAAAAAGCAAAGATCTCAAAACCCTGAAAATTGTCCCACGGCTGCTTGAACAAACTTTAGGTAGATACTTCACATACAACAAATAAAGCAAAGATTCCAAAACTGATCCCTGTGGAATCCCACAAAAAAAATTCTGCTGCTTTCTAAGTATTGATATCTGTTTGTGAGGTAAGAATTCAAAGTTTTATGGAATGGAAATCTCAAGCCGTAAGCGTAACACTTTTGGAGAAAAATTCCATGATCTACCATGTCAAAGGCTTTTGAAAGATCTACAAATGTACATGCTACAACCTCGTTGTTTTTAAATTCATCGCTCATATTTTCCAAAATACCTAAAATTGCATCTGCTATTGACTTTTGTTCCGACTTTCGATACGAAAGTAACGGAATATTTATGCTCGGGTGGGTTTTTTTTCTTCAGACAAAATTTGACTTTTTAACTATCCATTTTCGACGGAATTTTTTATATCATTCAAAAAGTATTGTTGTACTGAGCTTAAATTTGAAAAGATATTTCACCTGTGATCATTTTTTGTAAAGTTATGAGGGTTTAAAGGTTGCCATTTTGGCCATTTTGACCAATTTGGGACAATTAACGCGCGATATAATTCGCGCTATTAACGCGTAAGCGGAGATTTAATCCGTCTTATAAATCATTCCAAATTGGTTGAACGAAACTTATTTGCCATAATTGATGTGTTACAAGGAACAAAAACTATCTTTTTGTACTTTATATGGCGTCTGGGGGAATGATTTTCATAAAAAATTTCAAATTTTAGAAAAAAAACTTTTCATTTTATTTTATTTCATATAATGTTTTTATGTTATTACTGCTGCTCCATAAACCTTCAAAAGCAGTCGGAACATTCAGGGCTTTGCCGTGATAAGAGCAGTCTTGTTGTTCCGACTTTCGATCCGAAAGTAACGGAATATTTGTGCTCGGGTGGGTTTTTTTTTCTTCAGACAAATTTCGACTTTTTAACTAGCCATTTTTGACGGAATTTTTTTTTTAATCATTCGAAAGATATTGTTGTCCTGAGCTCAAATTTGAAAACATATTTCACCTGTGATCTTTTTTCGTAAAGTTACGGGGGTTTAAAGATTGCCATTTTGGCCAATTGTGGACAATTAACGCGCAATATAAGCGGAGACTCAATCCGTCTTTGAAAGCGTTCCAAAATGGTCGAGAAAAGCGTATTTGCCATATTTGGTTTGTTACAAGGAGCGAAATCTATCCTTTTGTACTTTATATGGCGTGTGGGGGGATGATTTTCATTAAAAAATTTCACATTTTAGAAAAAAAAAATTTTTGTTTTATTTCATTGAATTTTTTAATGTTATTACTGCTCCATAAACCTTAAAAGGCAGTCGGAACATTCAGGGCTTCGCCCTGATACGAGCAGTCTTGTTACTTTTATCACCAAATTGATGCGGTGTTATAATATATTTTTGCTCTCATATTTTCTTTTAGTGGTTTGTTCTTGAGCTGAAACCTTGCTGGAAAAACCGCCCCTGCCGTTCTTTCTGAAGCGTCATTTTGAGCTTGTCGGTTAAAACAAAACACTCAAACCGCTCAAGTTTTGCTTGGTATTGGGCACAAAGTTTCGAATCGGGATTGAATAAGGGGGGGGGGTGGTGTTGGTGAAAGACTCCAAAAGCATTACTGACCAGAAGTGTATTTGCAGAAGTGCCCCGGCAACTGGCTGCATGAACTCATAATTGGTCCTCCAATGGTTCTGACACAGCTCAGCCTGGAACTGCTTTCCTAATATGGTCACAAACTGCGGAATACTAACTGCATACATAAAGTAAAACACAATATTGCTCCCAAAACAGAAGATCCAGCTGATCACTGCAATCGTTCGGAGGAAGTGTTTGTTTTTCCACAGGTCGGAGCTGTTCACACACACGACGTTGTCGGATCCTCGGCTCATGGGTTTCCGAATGACGAAGTAGCGCTCGAGAGCTGTGATTGGTGAAAAACATTAGTTTCATCCTCATTTATTTTCATTCTGGGTTCAAATTTTCAGAAAGTTATGGTGGTAAAAATATGTAATTAAATGTCAAAAGTTTCATCCAGTCATGTTAAAGGATATTCGGAGTATTCAGGGTTTTGACCTGATACGAACCGAATTTACACTTGCACAAAAATAAAATTTTGTCGACGTTTTTAGGTCGAACAAATTGATTTTCTGAGCTCTCCCAAATCACTATAAACACCTTATTACGACCAAATTAAAAAAAAAACAGGCCAAAAAGAGGCTTTTGGGTCCTGAAAGGGTCGAATCCCTGAGAAAGGGGCGTGTACCTCTCCCCCGTAAACCCGACTGCTTGTGCACGTCACTGCTCTAAAAGAAATCCATGATCAAATTCTATATAACCTCCAATTGAAAATAACCGAGGCAGAAAAAATTTCTTTCTTGGAAGGGGGGGGGGGGGGGATTGTTAATCAGATCCAAAAATTTATATGTGTGATGAAATTTAATGTTTTGAAGTTTGGAGCAAATTACTGAAGTTCGGAGTAAATTACGAAAAGTCGATCAGCAAGAGTTCAGCTCAGTTGTTTTTTTTGCTAAGCTTCATTACACATTACACTTTTAAACAGGGGCGGATCTAGGATTTTCTTGAGGGGGGGGGGGGGGTGTGCAGATTTTCAAAAAATTGTCAAACCCTTGTCGACCTTTTTTTTAGGTCGGCCAAATTGATTTTCCGAGCTCTTCCAAATCACTAAAAAGACCCTGTTTTGGTCAAAATTTCTGCGCCACAGGCAAAAACTTGAAAAACAAGGCCAAAAAAAGGCGTTTTTGGAAAATTTTGACCAAAAACTCGCGTTTTTTTTTGGCGCGCGCTCCCCCCCCCCCCCCCCCTCAAAATTAGTATATATTAGCGCCAAAGGTGCCTTTAAAAAAATTTTAGGGTCCGTCTGCAAAAATGAATATCTCAAAATAGTACAAAGGGGGGACCCTTTGGGTCAGCAGGTGGTCAAATTCTGGGGCGGGTTTAGGTGGGTAGGGCGGGGGCCCCTCAGGGAGTCGACCCCCTGCCGACCCAAAGGGTCCCCCCTTTGTACTATTTTCCAATATTCATTTTTGGCGACGGACCTAAAAATTTTCTAAAGGCGCCTTCGGCGCCAATATATACTAATTTTGAGGCGCCTTTAGAAAATTTTTAAGGTCCTTCAAAAATGGATATTGGAAAATACTACGCAGGGGGTCGGCAGGGGTCGACTGGAGAGCGCGCGCCGAAAAAATGCTATTTTTTGGTCAAAATTTTTGGCCTGTTTTTTCAAAATTTTGGCTGCGGCGCAGAAAATTTGGCCAAATTAGGGACAAAAACAGTGCTCTGGGAGAGCTCGGAAAATCAATATGGTTGACCTAAAAAAAATGTCGACAAAAATCTTTAGAAATCCCCCCCCCTCGAGAAAATCCTAGATCCGCCCCTGGTGAAATCCCTGAGAGGAAGAGAAGCGTCCGCCCCCCCTCCCCTCGTAAATCCGCTCCTGCTTTGTTTTGTCTATTATTACCACTCATTCTATCATTTTTCAAATTTTCTCTCATATCAAAAATAACAGGAAGTTTGGACAAAATTAATTTTTAAAAATATTAGACTTTTTTCAATTTTTCTTGAATTTTTTCTTAATTCAATTTGGTCGGAACTTTCTGTGCTATTTGCACACCAACTAAATATCATTGGGTATCGTTAAAATTGTTGTTCAAATTGTCTAATTGTCATTGAAAATGGATATGTAACACATTGCACAATGTTTAGCAAACTTAACCTGCTGTACAACTTCCTCATATCCAATAGTTACAACTTAATATTGATTTATTTTACCAAATTTAGAGGACAACATTTTGTAGGAAAAATTTGATTTTTTTTGTTGTGCTTGGCCAAGCGGTTAATTCTTTCATCTTCATTCCTTCAAGTTTATCAAATTTGGATTTCTTTTCAACCATTTTCCCTGAAGCTTGAAAGCTTTCATGAAATAGGAGAAAAAGCCATTAGTACTTTTGCGATCGGGTCGCTTTGAATGTATTTTTGCTTTTCTTAAATTTAATTACTTTCATTGCCTAAAAGGCTTAATTTTAAAAGCATTTGGCATAAATCTTGTCGCTTTTAACTGAAATTTGGCTTTTCTGAAGTGCTTTCTAGAGTCAAGTTACGGTTAATAATTTCAGTTACCAATTTAGAGAGAGTAATTCGATTGCGACAAAAATGAACATTGGTTCACGAAAGTATGCTGGCAACGTAAACTAGCATTTACAACCAAAACGACCTGGATATCTCAAACAATATAGTTTTAAAACAATAACATCAGGAACAAAAGAAAACAAGACTGCTCGTATCAGGGCGAAGCCCTGAATGTTCCGACTGCCTTTTAAGGTTTATGGAGCAGCAGTAATAACATAAAAAAATTAAATGAAATAAAATAAAATGAAAATTTTGTTTTCTAAAGTTTGAAATTTTTTTTGAAAATCATCCCCCCACACGCCATATAAAGTATAAAAAGATAGATTTCGTTCCTAGTAACAAATCAATTATGGCAAATAAGCTTCGTTCAACCAATTTGGAACAATTTTTAAGACGGATTAAATCTCCGCTTACGCGTTAATAGCGCGAATTATATCGCGCGTTAATTGTCCCAAATTGGTCAAAATGGCAATCTTTAAACCCTCATAATTTTACGAAAAAGGATCACAGGTGAAATATCTTTTCAAATTTAAGCTCAGGACAACAATACCTTTTGAATTACGTCAAAAATGGCTAGTTAAAAAGTCGAAATTTGTCTGAAGAAAAAAAACCCACCCCGAGCACAAATATTCCGTTACTTTCGTATCGAAAGTCGGAACAAAAAGTTTTACCATGTTTGCATGGCAGAATGTAAAAACAAATTAAGTCACTTCAAAGTGCAAAAAGTCATTTTTTATTATAAAAATTCATTATGAAAACTCAGTAAAATTTTATTATAATTCATTATAAATTGTAAAAAAAAATTTATTTGAATATTCCGAATTCTTCTCTCATGAAATTAAAAACTGATTTGCAGAAAACGAACGCCAGACGTTTCAAAAACTCCTCAGCGCAACCGATTAAATATATATATCTCATTGAATAATGAAATTCAATTTTGTTTAAGACAAAGCTAATATTATGAACTAGAATCTAATTTCTGCCAAGCGTTAATCATTTGGAAAAATGGCACCGATTTATGAAAGAATGTCAAGAACATTTTGGTACGTAATATCATAAAAGAAAGAAGACTGCTAAATAATTTATATAAACTATTTGATGAAACTTCCACTAAAATAAACATATTCAGAATTTTTTTTTGATGTTTTTTGATACTCATTCATCAACACGCTATTTAAAACACAAAGTGGTACACTTTGCAAAAAACAAAGGTTCGAATAAACAAAAAAGCATGCCTCAATCCAATTTGAAAGGAATTCTAATACGGATTAAACCTCCGCTTAGGCGTTATTAGCTCGAAATATATCACTCGTTGATTGTCTCAAATTTGCCAAACAACAGTTTTTAAAACCATAACTTTAGAAATAAAGATCACTGGTGAAACATTTTTTTTTAATTTTTGAGTTTAAAACAACGGTACTTTTTGAGTGATATACAATATTTTTGTCAACGAATGAAAGTTTAAAAGTCCAAGAAATATGTCTGAAGAAAAAAAACACCCCAAGCACAAACATTCCGTCATTTTTTAAAGTCGTAAAAAAAGTTTTGTAGAATTGCAAAAATTCTACAAAAAAACAAACCATTTTGTAACAGAATCAAACAGTCAAATTGTGAAGTGTGTGAGACCTGTTTATCGTATTACTAAAAAGACAAGACACAATCGTCTTCGAGCAAAAGTTTGTCTGCACTTTATAAATCTGCAGGGTTCCAGTATTAAGTACCTTGGCAATTATTAAACCCAATGTCATAAATAGAAAGAAGCTATAATTGTAGGAAAAAGTGTCTAAATTATTGGCATTTTCAAGAAAATCTAAGTGTGATATCTTTTCAAGACTCTTTGGTCGGGATTTCGAACCAGGTATCTATACTTAAAACAAAATAAAGAAGATTGTGTGGGTGTCCGCGAGTTAAAGACCACCAAATCAAAAATTGTAGAATCGTGGAACTTTTTATGAATATCTAAATGATTCAAGGTCTAAAATAGGCTTTAAAATTTTTTTAAATTTTGTAATAGATACCTGAAAAAGAGCAAAAAACGAGGGAACATAGATTTTAGTGACATTCAAGTTTCATTTGCAGCTTACAGAGCGTTTTGCAACATTTGCGCAATTTGAAACGCAACCTGATTAACGTGTATGATACATCGGGACAAACCATTTATATCATGAGATAGACAGTTGAATACATGTTTTTACTAGATTGAACAAACTTTAGTCCGGTGCAATCGCCCGATGAAAAAAGGTATTTTTTTCCAAAGGTTAATTTTTTCTGGTGTTTTCTATCCATGAATCTTATTATACTTAAATTTATCACGCCAGAACAGAAACGTTCTAGCATTGCTTTATACCATCAAAACTCTTGAACAGCATTGGTTAGAAGGTAGTTTTAACTTCCTTACAATATTCCATTGGTAGCAAATTTTTTCCTTGCCACAACAAATGCCGAAGTTTTAAGGGCAACACGAAACGTCGTGAAATAAATGGAAAAATGACGCGCTGTGATAACTTGGCATTTTCACAGCTGCTGAATTGAAAACTTTTTTCTTTTAACATATTTGAAAAATGTATTCAATTAACTATCTGTTGATATCGTATTCAAGAAAATCGGTTTTATTGGAAAAAGTAGCGTTTTAAAAATGCGTATAATTTACGAAGCAACCTCTTTTTTAGTTAGTTAAAATTACACTCGTGCAATTTTCCTTATCATTTTTTAAGTCTCACTGACAATTAAGGCGTTTAAGTTACCAAGGTCCCCTAGAAAAACGATTTTAC